CTCCGTCTATTGGCTCCCCCTTCGCAAATGATTTTCCGCGCCCGGTACCCTCGGCAAACGTTCTGCCAGTCTTCTAGCTTTTCCCACCATCCACCCATTCCTTCGTAGTAGACTTCCCCTTGTTTTTTTGACCGTTCATATCCCTGTGGAGGTTTTCGAAGAATCCAGCTCGCGGGATCAAAGGAAGAGTTTGGGGTTTCGTCTACTGAGCCATCGAATAATTCAGCTGCTTTTAAAAATTCTTTTGCACCTGTCGATTTCCTTGCTCCATTTATCGCCATTCTCCATGAATCTAGTCGGGGAGCATCTAATTTCACAAGGCCTTGAACGGGATAATTCTGCTTAACAGCATCCCCGCGGGGCTCAGTGAAGGGGCGGTTGAACCTGGGGTCCCCATATGTCCTTCGCTCTGCAGGTGGAACTCTCGAAACAGGATCCAGAACAATCCAGGTAGCTCTGTTTAGCCAATGGTTGGCGAGCAACAGAAAATGGAACGGCTTGCGACCAGGCTCAACTTCACTTGAGAGCCATTCGAGTCGGCAATCTAGATCGTAGATTAACTGGATTTCATAATCGCTCAATCGAGCCCGTGTGCTTTCCCATGATTCCTTCCTTGGGTTCTGTTTGCAGGAAATTCAGGGAAGAGTCACTTTGTGCTAAGGTGCTTACGCCGGAGCCTCCTCGGATACTGCGTCACTTGCCGAATGTGGGGTGCCAGCGGATGCGCCCGCGGGAGTGTGGCGAGCTCCTAGGTTTTCTAGATCTGGCCTGGCTGGGGGTTTTTGGCCGTTTTGTGTCTCCTGATCCGGTCCTCGTCTGCTCCGTATCTCCAAAGTCCCGCCAGCCTCCTCTCCGGGTCTCTTCTTGTGTCTCTACTTGTGTTTCTTCTCGTGTCTCTTCTCATGTCTCTGTACTCCTCGACACAGCATCTCAGGGCACGCATTCGCGGCTGAAGCTGGGCTGTTGGCTCTTATCCGCTCATGGCATGCATCTCCCCAATTTTGAGTCTGACTGATTATCACTGTGCTCTGATTCCACGCTATTGCACTCGCACATTGACGGATCTGTCCAGATCGGCGACAGTTTCTTCTTGAATAGTTCTATTCTCTCCCTTTCTCCTCTTTCTCCTCCTTCTATTCTGCTTTTGTTGTGATTTTGCAGCGTCGTTTATCCCGCGTTTTGCTCGGAACTACGGCACCCCGCCACCGGTCACATCAAGGTTTATATAGAAGGACTTTTTGCCTGAATATCGACAACAATCCTGCAAGTCGCAGCTATTTTTTTATCCTCGACTCTCGCTCTTCTACGCCCTTCCTCTTTTGTCTTGTGATACCCACGACGCTTAACATATTGAAATGCGTCCCCCCGATTGATGAACCCACCCAGTGAACTTTCTTCCTTCACTTCGACGACGAACGAAGTCATATTTTACACCTTTTTCTCTTTCACCCTTTGCTGCCATCTAGCGTTGAAATTGGGGAACCGTCTATCCCGCTGACGAATCCCATACCATCCACCATGAATCAGCAGACCTCGATCAACTCTTACGGTACATGCGAATCCCAACCTACAATGGCGACAGAGGATGAGGGCGTGGGATTGCTATATGCAGAGCCCATGGAGGCACCGCCAGCAGATCGTGATGGCGATGGCACCTGTTACGATGGCCATGACCGAAGAGGTGGTGGGAGATATACTTCCTCTTCATCGAGTTCCGTCCAAGAGGGTGTACGCAAGATTGAGGCCATTAGCAAGACGTGGACGCACAAGTCATTGATAATTGCATATATTGGGTATGTCATAATATTCGTTGTTTAAGAAAATATTGTTGAGTGGCGCGCATGTTTGGGGCTTCTCGCTATGTTGCTTGCTCCGCAACAGGAATCTACTGCGTCCCGTCCCACGCACGAAAAACCCACGAAAAACCCCCCCTTTCGTTAAAAGCCCCGCTAATATAATCAAGAATGTTTTTGATGGCATTTTCAACTTCTCTAGAAGGCCAGACGGTTTTGTCTTTGTCAGCATATGCAACGAGCTCCTTCAGCAAGCATTCGTTAATATCAACAGTTCTGGTCGTCCAGAATGTAGTTAACGGTACACACACTTCAATTTTCAGAGTATTTAAAGGATCTTAGTCTAACATGCCTCACAGCTGTCGTGAAACCTCCGATGGCGAAGGTCGCCGATGTATTTGGTCGATTCGAGGCATTTTGCATTGCAGTTTCTATTTACGTCCTTGGATATGCCCAGATGGCAGCGTCAAGTAATGTACAAACTTATGCATCGGCGCAGCTATTTTACTCCGCCGGCTCGACGGGGTTGCAAATCCTCCAACAAGTTTTCATTGCAGATACCAGCTCTTTACTTAACCGAGCGCTCTTCTCCAGCATGCCGGATCTACCATTCCTGGCCACCGTGTGGATTGGGCCCATGATCGCTGCAGCCATCCTCCGCGAAACCTCATGGCGTTGGGGATATGGGATGTGGACAATCATCCTGCCCGCCGCATTTCTTCCGTTGGCCTTGTCTCTTTTCCTGAACCAGAAGAAGGCTCGGAGACTAAATCTCCTCAAACCCCGGCCATGGAAAGCGCACCGCTTCACCAGTATAGTCAAAAGGACTTGGTACGACCTTGACGTATTCGGTTTATTGCTGCTGTCAGCGGGAGTGGCTTTGATTTTGGTTCCTCTGACGTTGGCGGCCAATGCGAAGAATACGTGGAAAAACAGCAGCATCATCGCCATGATAGTCATTGGGGGGATTTGCCTTGTTGTTTTCCCCTTCTGGGAAACTTCGAAGCGGCTGGCTCCGCACCCTCTCCTTTCATTACACCTCCTCAAGCAGAGAACGGCTCTTGTTGGCTGTGCCCTTGCTTTTTTTTATTTCAGTAAGGCCCCCTTCAAGCTTTTTGATCTCTATTTCACCCCTGATTTAACATTTCGGCGCAGTGGCATTCTATTGCTCGGTGCAGCCCTACCTCTACTCCTTCCTTCAAGTCGTCCAGGGCCAATCTGTCACCACAGCCGGTCGAGTAACTCAAACCTTCTCTTTTACATCAACAATATCCGCCGTCTCCGTCTCATTCGTAATAAGAGCAACCAGACGATACCGACGTTTCGTCGCCGGGGGTTGCTGCATCTACATAGCTGGCCTTGCCCTCATGTTCTTCTTCAACAAAGAGGGCACCTCCACTACATCGACATTTATCATTCAAACCGTCATCGGACTTGGTGCTGGCCTCCTCAACGTCCCCGTCCAGCTAGGTGTACAAGCCTCTGCGAACCATCAAGATGTCGCTGCGGCAACAGCCATGTTCCTCACATCGTTAGAAATGGGTGGAGCGGTGGGATCAGCCATCTCGGGGGCTGTGTGGACTAGCTCTATCCCGAAGAAACTGTCCTTGTACCTCCCTGCTGAGAGCCAGGGCGATGCAAAGGAGATTTTCGGCAAACTTACCAAGGCGCTTTCGTACCCCCTGGGTTCTGCGACGAGAATCGCTATCAATCGTGCATACGATGAGACGTTCCGCAAACTTCTGGCGATTGCCGTCTGTTTGACTATTCCGCTTATTCCGCTTAGTTTGCTCATGGTGGATTATAAATTAGATAATGTGCGTAGTACCTATATTTCCTTCATTTTACCATTCCCTTTCCCTCCCCCCTAAGATTCCTCGTTGAGTATCCCCGTTTTGGACCAATACTGACTGCACAAACCGCATCAATAGATGGATTCTGTCGTAAAAGGCGAAGCACTCAGACATGACGAGGAGGGAGATAGGTTGATCTCTTGTCCTACAGGCTCTGAAAGACCCGGCTCCAGCTCCTGTCACAGAAGCCACTTGTGATGGAAATTGCTGGAAAACTTATCTAACTCAACTGCCTCCACGACAAATGTGCCGAGCTTATTCCCTACGGAAATATACCTCGTTAACTATATACATCCCCTCACTTCCCTGCCTTGCATATATATTTGCATGCACCCAGCTAAGCGCTTGGCGCAAGGACAAATTACGAACAAATAATGACAAATCCATGAGTGAAACAGGGCCTCTTGACCGTTTTTGGTACTTATCAAATTCTTTACCACGTCACGCCCCGCCGTGCTGTCAATTGATATCGCCCACCACCAAGCAAATGGCGGTGGCGCCGTTATCTGCTAATCTTTCCTCAATCACGCATATAGAAATCAATACCATATATGTTGAGCGTTGTTGAATCTATCATGTTTGTCTTTTACCCTTTTTTGGTATATCTACACCCTTAGAGCCTCTCCTCGTTTTACTTTTTTTCTTATTTTTCTTTTTTTATTTTGGAGGGGGGTGGCGGGGGGGAGTGTTCATGCGACGCATGTCTTCGACGTATTATCTGCTGGCATATATATAAATGAAGCAGGGATTTCATCATCCTCTCCTCTTCCCCGAGAGAAAAAGAGTGCAGTTTCAAAATTATCGTAAAAAGAACGATTTTACTAGAGTAAATTTATCCAAACACAGAATTATTTTCCTGTAAGTAAATACTCGCTCTCTCTCTGCCATTAGATCTGGAGGATAATGTACGTGATCTTCGGAAGTTTGTATGTTCGAACTAGTGAACTAGTAAAGGAGGGGTAGTTGTCAGTTGGCCTCCATTGGTATTCAGAAAGGTAACTTCATAATGAGAATCTGTAGGCAATTGGATTGACTCCATTGTCGGTTTTAACTTAACCGTCAAGGGGGGAGAGTTTACAGTTTGTCACAATGTGGCCTGCCATGAGTGACGTTTTGAGAACAAACTTAGTTGTTGCAGACCTCGCACGAATCATGGGGTTGATATCAGGCTCGCGCTGCAGAGGTAGGACAGTGTCTCCTCAATTGGAGGTTGATTGTGGCGGTGTTGGTGATGCAGCAGCAAGATCCATCCACTGGCCATTATTATGTCTTTCGGCTCTATAACAAGAAGATCCTCAAATCTTGCGCTTGATATATATATATATATATATATATATATATGAACCTTCAGCACAGATTTTACACGCAGGTTAGTTTAAGCGTCTATCAACCCCTGTGCTTAATCGAGCGTTTAGGGTACAATTGACCTTCCCTCCGCTCTCTGTGCATCTGTCAACATTCACAAGCTCCTGTTTGATAAAGCGTGATAATTGCTTCCCTATAACCACCTCAATCACTACTATCATGGGCCACATTCCAAAGTCTCTGTGTGCTTGCTCGTCTCTGCCTGAAACGGTAATTTTTACCATGCCTCCTGATTCTTCGGTCATTCACGGAGTATCGATGAACGAAACGATCAAAATGCCCGACTCGTCCAGCTCATTCTCATCTAAACCATCAACAATACTAATGCCCACAGATTAAAGATTTCTAACAAGTTTCAAGAAAACCCCCCGGATATCCTTGCTAATCATGTTCATCGTTTCTTGTGTGCAAGGTCATCCATCTCACCAGCCAAGATTCGATCACTGTGGCTTCACCACGGATTTCCCTATTAGGCTGACGAGAAGATCAACTTCCGGAGCACTTTTGGTTGTAAGGGCAATAGTCTGACTGGATGGACTAAAGTTGTTAACAGTGCATAACTGCGGATCTTTTGCTGATTGAAGGGTGCCACATATTCTCACATTTTGTCAATATATTTTTTATTGTGTACGGTCAAGCTTTATGCGATGGTCCATTTGGCTGCTGTTTGAGTTGACCTTCCAGGGATATCATATAAATATCTCCAAGGTATAATGAACCTAGGCAAATGATTCAACAGAGACATCCGTCCAATAATGATTTTTACCATGGCATTATCTTCATTTCTTTTATTTTTGTCTCCTTGCTTTTTATATCTCCTCAATCTCTTATTTAAAGATTTATCATGTTTTATTCAAGATTCATCTGACTGTCTCTGACATATATAACTCTTAAGGCATACCTTGCGGGTCTCCAGGCTCAGCTCTCCGAGGCAGCTTTTTTTCATAACTACTAGTATTTTAGACTGGGTACATTTTCACATATTCAATATGATGACAACCATGGATAAGCGCTCATAAACATCTTGTCATTGTAAACGCTTATCATTTGTGGATATGCATCAAAAGTAGTCTAACAATAGCAAAAAGGGTAGAAATATGAAGGTTCCAGGCCGGATGCTAGTTAAATCAAACAATACAAAGCAGAGAGAGGGAAAACCAGATTTAAATAAACAGTGCATTATTGACCATATAATCAAACAAAACCAATCATAGCGGTATCTCCTGGCTTCTCAGTACACGCACTCACACACCACCAGCAACCTCTTCTATCGCCTCGTCATCCACCCGTCTATACTCTATCATGACCATGCACGTAATAACTACAATGTCAAGAAATCCGTCCAGCTCCGGCACAAGCAACGTGATCACATCACTCTCCCTGGAAAGCGACGATGAGCGCTTCTGGTATCGCGCAACCGTACGCCCTCTTGTGTCCACCAGTTTAAGATTGCTGGAAACAAGGCTCCCGAAGGGACCGCCATCACTCTTCCATTCCAACGTGCCAAGCGGTGTCAGGCTCTCAAACCTGCGCGTGGTGGATAACGGGTCTGGCCGCTTCATGGTGATGGTATGGTTTGTGCTGAGGCTAATGTCGATTTTCGACGAGAAGGTATGGAAGGTCGCGGTTCCGACGAGGTAGTCATTGTTGAACTGGACCGTCTGTTGATGGTGGTAGTGGTGGTGACGAGATTGCCCCAAGAGGTTGGATAGGGAGAACTGCCCAGAGAGCCTTGATAGGGAAGAAGTCTGTCGGGTATATGGGACTGGCTGGAGATGTCGCGTCAAGGTAATTTCTGGGTGACTCCTGGACGTTCCCACTGTGTACAGACAAGAAGAATCGTCTGGAGTGGTTATTTTATAACTGAGGCGAGTCCAGCTTCTCTCTTTAGCGAGGTGCACGCAGCGAATCGGTGGCTGCATGTAGGCCATGCTGTCATTCAAGGCCTGCATGTGCGATGCAGAGAGGAGGAGGTGATTGGCCGACGTGATGGCGGATGATGACCTTATCTCCTTTGTATCGAGTATAGTGGATCGTATAGATCATGGGATTGCTTCAAAGGAAATTCGCAGATATAAGAGAAGACAGTTTCATATATTAATGGAATATATGGCCTTGAGAAGGAGTTTATCATAAGCCTGGATTCCCAGAGTTCATAAATGAGAAAGAGCAAGCAAACAAAAATGAAAATCCAGAATCCCCGAAGATGCATTGGATCATTTATGTCTGTGCCTGGCTACTATGGCCAGTATCCAAACACTTGCTAAATGGATCACAGCCCTCAGGACACGATGTTATTGGTTTCCATCCTTGGGACAATCTTAGAAGAAGCTGGAGCTGAATACGCGTATTTAACCCTTTGGGGGAGTTTTTGAACATTTCTCCTCATTGGGGGGGCGGTGACGTCGAACTTGGTACATCATCAATATGAACGCTGAAGGCACCTGGAGCTGATTGCACCCGAATGCGTGGTGTCACCAGATTCACCACCAGACGTTGTCTCAGGCTTGTTGGGGGTTGTTTGGAGGCAGGTTAAGGCTGGCGCTTGTTTTTAGCACCGTATAAGCGAACAACCTCAACCTTGATATTTTCTTCTTTTTCCCTTTTTCATCCGCAGCAGAGTCACCTTTGGGGTTCCGCCACTATCTTTTTCGGCATTGTGTTGCTTTTGGAGATTCCGAAGCAGTGTCTTTGGTTGCAGTACTTCATGCTTCCGCTCAATGACGAGCTATGATGCAAAATGAGCAATCAAGTTATTTTGCATTTTGAAATACGCTTCTCCAACAAATACCCTGATTTGGCTTAGAAGCCGGAGCAACATGGGCACTGGCGCCTATCTACCTGGGGATAAAGAATTTCAGGGCTCAACGCCACTAACCGCAGCTTATAAAATATGACTGCTGCGTGAACGTTGAAATTGCCAGAGATTTTCTGGAAACATATTTAAACAGCTCCACCCGACAACTAGATTTGTCGCAGCTGATGTGATCTTAGCATCGCGATGTTCCGCCGCAAAAAGCAGGAAATACCTGTACCATGTCTGCTGTGGCTAACCTCCTCACATATCTGCACTGTGAATTTCAACTTGGTTGGCCATTGGTTGCGATTTCTATACTGTCGTTGATGATTCTGAACCTATGTCGTTCAATGTATCGCGCCATTAACTCCCCTTTCCCAGGTCCGAAATTAGCCAAGTTTACGAGCTTGTGGCTTCGATGGCATGAACTGAGAGGTGCGTTTGTGATCCGGGCAACGAAGTTCACTCACTATTAGCACCTTCGTTAACAGTCCGATTGTTGTTACATCAGATGGGATCCTAAACACGACTCATCGTGCGCACCGAAACTATGGTCCCATTGTTCAGCTTTCCCCGAAAATGATTTCATTCTGTCATCCAGATGCCATAAAGGATATTTACACCGGATCCCGAGGCGGATTAGATGCCATTGATCTTGTTTGGTTTTTTGAGCGGTATGGCTCACCAAACGTAGTAAGCACCGTTGACGCAGAATTACATTTAATTCGCAGAAAAAATGTCGCGGGTCTCTATTCGAGCCCAGTTGCGGCATCACCAGCCTTTCAGACTCATATCAAAACGACTATTGATACATTAATGAACGAAATTGAAGCGGAGGCAGGGTCGGGAGCAGCCTCTTTCATGGACTGTTGATGTGTTTCCCATGATGAGGTGGTTGACCGCTGATATCATGATCGGGTTGATCTATGGGCGTGAAAAGCCACTCAATCTACTGAGCAATCCTGATTCAAGAGCTCAGATGAATGAACTCCTCACCCCAACACTGGAACTAGTCGCCAGTCCGTTAATGACTGCTTTCCAATGGCTTCCCCGTAAGTGTGCTGTTCCCGGGAGTTAGGAACTAATACTCCATGATGCTGATCGTTAAGTTCCCATCATGAAACTCTTATCACCGTTAATCAACCCAGGGTCAAAATTGACTACATTTGGCATGTCATTGGTGCAGGAGTCTCTCAAGTCACTGCCTCCCCAATCTAAAGATGATGACGGTAGGAAGGCAAATACCCATCTCCAACATCTTCTTTGTCTTTTCAAAAAGGATGGTCCCAGCCTTGCTATTCAAAAATATCAATTACATCGCCAGCGACACT